AGGATTTCTATGATGCTCACGTGCACCACATATTCTCGCCGAAAAATGAAGATCTTCCATCGAGCCTTCCGCTGAATTACCTATACATGAATGCACGTGACTCGCATAATCAAATCAGCCGTAAGCACGAAAGATGCTCCGGAATCGTGTCTCGCTTATTCGAAAGACTCGTTCGACGCCGGGGAGATAAACCGTGGCGCGGGCATATAGATGATGAATATTCACTTTTAATGGAATTTTAGATACAGATTCCGAAATCCTTTTACGTTTCGCCGATCTTCTCGTAAGTTACATTTTTCACGGATGCAAATGCTATTGATTTTTATTCATTTCATAATTGCACGTGCGGTTTTATAGTGAATTCGTAATTTCTACGAATTCACTTTGAATTTTTTATTTTTTCCTTTTACTATGGAGTAGATTTTGAAATTTTTCCTTCTTTTTGTATGCTTTACTTGGAATTTGTAGGATTTGTTTGATAATAGGCAAATTTTATTTGAGAATATTTTTATTGTTGTGAGAGTGCAAGATTTGATAGTAAATAAATATCTGAAACGTTTTTGGGAATGTAGAAAATTTTATAAAAAACATTTTACAATAGAAGTAATTTTTGATATTTTGCAATTAAATGTGGATTAGGTTTGGAGATTTTTCTTTTTTTTTTATATGCTTTATTTGGAATTTGTAGGATTTGTTTGATAATAGGCATATTTTATTTGAGAATATTTTTATTGTTGTGAGAGTGCAAAGTTTAATATTAAATAAATATTTGAAAAGTTGTTGGTAATGTAGAAAATATTAAGAAAAATATTTCACAGTAGAAATAATTTTTGCTATTTTTCAACTAAATTCGTGTAATTTATTCATTTTCTTATTATTGTTTCAAATTAAAATAAAGAATCAGTACCAAATGCAATAGAAAATTTATTTTTTCTTAAATACGAATAAAAAAATTTTTGCATTTTATCACACAAATTTGTCCAATTTTTTTTTTACAAGTACAATTACTTTTCGTACCTTATCAAAATATAATAAGTTCTCATATCTAATAAAAAGAAGCAGGTAATTGAACAAATCACATCTCACGCACGTGCAACTCGACACCAGAATGACAGAAACGTTAAAGGCAAAGTAACACTAAAAATATCGCGAAAGTATCGGAAACACTCTAGCGAGGAGACAGAGTAAAGTGCGCCTTTCACAATGCATTTTCTTTCAGGTTGATACCTCAACTGGTTCTGAAGATACGCAGTTCAAAGCGCGACGCTTAAAACGCACCGAAAGTTGAATGGTGGTCGAAGTTCCTGGAAACGCACTGACCCACATTTTTTCCTGGAAATGCGTACGCCGTGCTAGTGTAGTACGAAAGATGCTGACTCAGCGCCTGCCGCTGGCCAGTGCATGGACACGGAGCTTGCGATAGGTCAGCGAAGACGCGTGAGTGAAAGGTTCGAGCGCACGAACAAGAGATAGGTAGAGTATTTACTCGAAACTGTTTTTTGTTTCTAACGATGATATCTCGATAACGAAGAATTTTATCGACGTGGAATAAAAAATTACAGGTAGTTTCTGTCTTTATAAATTAATTGCTTTCCTGGCGATTGTTTGTAAATTGGGAATTCGTGAAGTGAGAGGCTCGTTTTAAAGCCATACGCGTGATTTCCCATACAATTTAAAATTAAAGTTCGTAAAGATAGAAATTCGTAAAGCGGGAATTCGTAAAGATAGAAATTCGTAAAGCGGGAATTCGCAAAGATAGAAATTCGTAAAGCGGGAATTCGTAAAGATAGAAATTCGTAAAGCGGGAATTCGTAAAGATAGAAATTCGTAAAGCGGGAATTCGTAAAGATAGAAATTCGTAAAACGGGAATTCGCAAAGATAGAAATTCGTAAAGCAGGAATTCGTAAAGATACAAATTCATAAAGTGGGAATTTGTAAAGATAGAAATTCGTAAAGCGGGAATTCGCAAAGATAGAAATTCGTAAAGCGGGAATTCGTAAAGATACAAATTCATAAAGTGGGAATTTGTAAAGCGGGAATTCGTAAAGATAGAAATTCGTAAAGATAGAAATTCGTAAAGCGGGAATTCGTATAGCGGGAATTCGTAAAGATAGAAATTCGTAAAGATAGAAATTCGTAAAGCGGGAATTCGCAAAGATAGAAATTCGTAAAGTTAGAAATTCGCAAAGCGGGAATTCGTAAATTGAGAATTACCTGCGTTTTAACCCTTTGAACTCCTTTGTCGAGTGTGACTCGACATCAGTTTTATTCACAGGTATGAACAAAGTAATTTTTAAATTGCCAATTTAAACACGTATTATATTTTGCAATATTTTTTTTACCTGGATGAGCAATAGGTACACAATATGTGACCCTTAATGCTATTTTCAATATAATTAGTAAAAAAAAATTGTTTAAATTAAGTTCCTACGAATCAAACGTCTTTTAAAGTGCATTTCAAATAAAATTCTTAAAATAACAGGGAGTTACTGAAAAGAAAATTAAAAAAAAAATTTCGAGTTCAAAGGGTTAAAGATACTTTACTCTAAAACCACGTCAAATGTTTCCTAAAAATTCCAAGAAACGAATAACTTTTTACTGTACCTAGGTACAATAATCTTCAATAAGAAATGATACTTTCAAAGCGGTATCTTCTCCTCTAACCAAGATATATATTTCCACTAAAGAAGCAAGACTTCCTATCTCCATTATCTCGCTAATGGAACTCAAGTGTCTATAAATTTCAAGAGAACGGTTTTCGAAAAATTTGACAAATTTCTCGACGATAAAGATGGAACGGTGACCGTTATACATATAGTGTAATAAAAAATAAGTAAAAAATGGTAACTACGCGACGACGAAGATATTGAAAGATAGCGTAGAGCTACGTAGGATCTGATTAAGAATTGGTCACGGCAAAGTACGATATTACTTTCGATAATAGAATATTGATTTCCAATTAATCTCAAGAGGACGAGCCATTGAATTTTAAACCAGCCACACTTCAACGCCTATTATAATACGTACACGATGTATATGGGTTGCAACCTAGTTACGAAAGCAGAAATTCTCAATGGAATGGAAACTCTTAGACGGGGGGGATAACCGGGAGGAAACTTTAATGTCAGAATTTTCTAACATATTGCTGCGTTCTTTTGCCAATTTTTTTTCTTCCGTACAATCTGCGAGGAGATTTCAGAATTTCAACCACGAGAATTTACACACGTTCTCGAGAGGTATTTTATTGTACTTTTAATATTATATTGCGATGTTGCGGAGGAGAAAATAATACGCGTGGTATAAAAATAAATTGCGGTATAATAAAATGTACTTGACATAAAAATCAGCGATAAGAGTGAAAACTAATGGTAGATACCTAATTTTTATATCGTAAGTTGCAAATTGATGGTAATTGTATGAAAGTGTCTTCTAAGTGATAAAATGAAAATGAAAGAAAATATCTTTATTGGGAAGAAATTATTCGGTTTAAGCGGGCTGGCAAAATATTCTGATCGAATTGTGAGAGAAAACTGTGTCATCTGCGATCGCTTCTTTTCTATTTTTATGACTTTTTATGTAACTTAAATTTTAATTAAAAAATGTCTAATATCGATACAAATCGACATAAACATTTGAGAAAAGTCAAAAAGTTAAAAACGATCATTTTTATCAATATCGAAAATTCTCTTTTCTCTAGGAAATTACTATAAAAAATATAGATTCTAAATGAATGAATGAGTTCAATGAGGTCATTCAGTTAGTTGTTCTTAACCCTTTGACACACCTTTCTTGTACACATAATTAAATCTCTACATCAATTTTTTTCAAGCTAAAGCATATCAAAATTATATTTTCCTCAAATATACTTACTTTTACGTGAATTCACAGTCACACCAACTATCTTTTTTTTTTTAAATACAATTTAAGTTTGCATCAACATCTCAATTAATTATTAGCGACCAGTCTTTTTTAAGCTAAGCTTATACTTTCTTCAAATATAGGTACGTATTATAATTACGTGATTTTACAGTCACACTTACTATTTTATTTTTTCTTCAAATATAATTTAAGTTTGCAACATCTTAATTTTTTTTTTTTTATTTCGAGTTTTACACGTCGTATCGACCATAATTTTCCAGTTGTATTCTCTATATATTTCACAATAGAAATTTATTCTACTGTAGGAACCGACGACGGAAAAGTATTTCGTGAGGGACCCAAACGGGAATCGAACCCGGGACCTTCGGCTTAGCAAGCCGAGGCTTTACCCACTACGCCACCCACTCCCTCTCTATTCTCCCTTAGAGGTTTCCTATTTGAGTATGGAGGGCCCAATACTACATAATATTTTCACTTCTACTGAATATTCAAAGTTTGCAAGATAAGGGGTTAATGTTTGCAAGGTTTCTAATATAATATAATTGTAGAAATCGACGGAAAAATTTTGAAGGACCCAACGGGAATCGAACCCGGGACCTTCGGCTTAGCAAGCCGACGCTTTACCCGCTACGCCAACCACTCCCTCTCTATTCTCCCTTCGAGGTTTCCTATTTGAGTATGGAGGCCCCGATGCTACACTACAAACAGCCAACTATTTTTATTCCCTAAAAATGTGTTTCGTTTATTAACTACTTTCACAGTATTTCGCAAACTTTGCATATACGAGTCTATCGTCCTCAAAGGGTTAATTGGTCAGCGAATGAATCAAGACACGTTACTCAGTCGGCCAGTGTGCTGCAATCAAACGTCCCTAAACGAAACACCCTAAACCAAATAACCTACACGATTCACCGCGAAATTCTATACACCTTCTCATCAATTCCTGAAGAATAATTTAACGTGTGACGGAGTACACACCGTATTCATCTCTCTTTGAGCGATGTGTAAACGAGCAAACATTCCTCTCGGTAAGTTTCATCACTCATCGAATATGTCAAAGAAAGAAAGTGGCGTAGAAATATCGGCTTTGAAGTGTCGACTCGTGGTACACATTTCAAACTTTCTAGTGTATGATCGTTTTACGCCCTTTGAAGCATGTGATATACCTCATGTGCAGTTCCGTTCTTCTTCTCTCTTTATTCTTTTATCAAAGTTCAATCGAACTTTAGCCCACGTTAGACGAACGTTAAGTGTAATTAATTTCGTGCCCTTTTTCACATGCTTTGATGCTTATTTGGAAAAAGGTCGAAGAGAATTTTAACGTTTAAAATGACCAGCTTCTTTTTGTTTAATTCTGGTAATTTGGAATTTTTTTCTGCTAATTGAAGAATTCCTTCTCTGAAGAAATAGGCAGATCTTTAGACAATATAGTCGTCAAGATTTTGTGAAAAATGGCACCGAATTGATTTTTACACCTGATTGAATATCGACAGAGGAAAAATTATTGAAAATTTCAAAAGTTATTTGTTTTTAAGTATTTCAATGAAAATTACAATTCTGACTGTGAAATATGGAAATTAGATATGTTGAATTGTTTAGTTTCTAAGATTGAAACGGTATTGTTGATACAGTCTATGCGATCTTTTGTCTTATTTGATTAAAAAGGAAAAAATAGGGCGATTTTTAGTCGACAAAGTCGTCGAAACTGTAAAAAATGGCACCGAATTAACTTTCGCCTAATAAAATAACGATAGAGGAAAAATTATTGAACGCTTTAAAGTTTGTTTTTCAGTATTTCAATGAAAATCACAATTCTGGCTCTCAATTATAAAAATTAGACAAGTTAAATAAGCTTAGTTTATAAAATTGAAATGGTATTGGTGACAGAATCTATGCAATCTCTCGTTTTATTTGATCAAAGTACGCAAAATTCGTGTAAAACTTGGTTTCAACAAACGAACTTAGTCGTGTTGCGTTAATTCGATTAATACACAAATTAAACATAATATTTTCCTTTATCCAATTGCCAAACATTTAACTCGACAACGAAATCACTCAAGCGAATGATTCCCCAGTAACTCTAACTACTTTAAGCCATGCACTTCGAAGTAATTAGATTGAGCATAAAATTCACAAATTCTTCTCTATAAGGAGAGAAAAACGTAATTACACAAAATCACCAAAAAAAAAAGAGTAATAATACCGAAGAAATAAAATATCCTCAAATTTCAGAATATTCAAAAATAGAAAAATTGCAGAAAAATAAAAAAAAATCTTCATTGGTTCAAATATTTTTATCACAAAAATGATAAGTTTCACAGAATACTACACAGAATCGCTACCATTTTAAATAAAGTCAAATTGGATTCGTCGTTCCACGATACGAAAAAAGGAGAATCTAATCACGTTTGTATCACTCAACCCATTTCTTCCACGGTTCTCTCGATAGTCACCGAGTTCGCGAGTTTTATACTTTAAAGAGGGAAGAAAATTGAAAAACTCACCTCCTCCGCCTGAGAGACGACATTCTCGACGGCGTTCTCCGCCGACTTTGCGAGGGATGCAGCTTGCTCCTTTCTCGACATGTGGCCGCGGAAAGATGCCTGGATTTTCGTCGCCGCTTCGCAAAGCTCTGTCAACCAGAGAGAAAGGTACTCTTAAGTTGATGTCGATAGACGAGCCGGGGATCGATAACGCTGTCTCCTTGTCAATATGGGGAAACAGGATTTCGAATTTCAAGCTTTCCCCGCTGACAATCGTAGAATGTTCCACGGCGAAAAATTGCCTCGGCGTTCACACATCTATTTTACACTCGCAATGCGATTTCTCGATTTACGATCATTTCGATATGCAATGTCGTTTTTGGGAGAAAGTTGATCATTTTTAGCGTGAGGTGAATTTATGTTTGCAAAATATTTGTGTCAAACTGTGTAGAAATAGTATTCGACGAAATAAATGTAACGGTATAATTACAAGAAAACAATGGAAATTTGAAGAATTTTGAGTTTAAGATTTGAACATAGCAAATTTTTTGCTTTACTTTAATTTGAAATTTGAAATTGAAAATTTTTAAGTTGAACTTTTGAAAACAGTATATTTTGAATT